ATATCCCCCAGGCCGCGGTGGAGCCCCGGGGCTGCAGGGTGAGGGGGCTCACGCCCCCCCATGACCCTCAAACCGATCCCCGTTCAGACCGAAACCGCTCAGGTGCGCGCTCCCGGGGCCAGGCCCGCACCCCTGTGCGCCCCCTCTCCCTGGCTCCCTGGGGCAAGCCGTGCTGTCTGCCACTGCCTCCCCACCACACCCCGCGCTGTTCTCTTTATAAGAGAGAGAGAGGAACCTTCCCGCTTGCTTCCAACAACCTCCACAACCCCTTTTCTCCCCGCCGGAGGGGGCTCCTCTGGGGCGTGGGTGAACGCGGAGCAAGAACCATCCCCCAGTCAGCAGCGACGGGGATATCCCAGAGGCCAGAAGCGCAGCCCTGTCTTCCCCCAAGGCTTCTCAGGAATCTGCAAGGCCGCGGGGCCTCCCTGGGTCATCTGAGGGTCCGGAGCTGGTCTGATTTCTACAAGGCTCAGTCCCTGGCCAGATCTCTGGCCGTGGGATGGGGATGGGGGAGAGGTATTGCAGAAGAAGGGACCAGGCAGTGGGCCAGGGCTGTCGTTTGGAGCTGGGACTTGAGTCCTGAGATGGATCTGGCTGGACCCGACCCAAACAAGCTAGCGGGATGGGGGAAGGGCTCAGGAAGGAATTAACAGTCCCTTCTCCCTCCATCTTCTCCCTCCATCCGGAAGTGGGCCCTTGCATCAGGACCTAAGGGAGACCCTGGGTTTCACCAGCTGAGTCGGTGGCGGGCACAGAGGGAGGGGGACGTCAGTGGGAACTGCCAAGAGCGATGGCCCGGGAGGGAGACCAGCTCTGCACTTTCCTAGGGCCAAGAGAGAGGGGTCCCCAGGAGGACCCCAGATTTCTGTACAGCCTCTTGCTGACCCAGGAAAGAGATTGCCGGAAGGAGGCTGCAAAGGACGCCTTGCGGGGAGAGAAGTCACAGTTTCACCAGAGTTTCAAGCTTCAGCCACTTTTGCAAAACAGGGAGCCGGGAGCTGTGGAGGGCTGGGAACTGGTCCCCGCCCAGCTGGCCTTGTGTCCCCTCCCCCCTACCTGTCGGCCTCCACCCTGGTGATGGAAATCCTCGGTGGAATCAGCAGTGGCAGCGTGGTGGGCCGCGACGGCGGAGGGACACTGGGGTCCGAGGGCTCAGGTTGGGTCCAGCCCAGGCCGGGACCAGAGGAGAAGCGGCAGCGAGGGCGAAGCAAGTCTGCCCCCAGCATGTTGGTGCTGCGGCCTCCTCCGGGGTCTTCCAGCGCCTCTGTGGAGGGACAGGGGTGGGTTGGGGCGTGGCCTGGCCTACAAAGACTGAACGTCCCCCAGGAACACCCCACCTACCCATGAGAGGAAGTACCTAGCTGGTGAGCTGGCGAGCCACCCACCGAGGGCACCTTCACGCCCCTTGCGTCTGACGGAGCCCCCTCTTGATTTCCAGCCCTGAGCTCTGGGGCCTAACATCTCTACCTTCCATCACCCGAGTTCCCTTTAACACGTATGTCTCTTTTTAGGGTGTCTTCCTAGCCCCCACATCCAAGCAGCCTCCTCTTTGACCTTAATGTTACTGGTTCCAGCCTCCCCCCACATCTGGGACCCTCCAGATCTCGTCCCAGTGCCCCTCCACTTTCTGGCTCAAATCTTCAAGGCTGAGACAGGAGGATCATCTTGAGTTCAAGGTCATCCTGGGGCTATATAGCGCGATCCTGTCTCGAGGACCAAAATCTTTTCCCCACTTGAGAATCCCCATGAAAGACTCTTGTGCCTTCTATCCCAGGCTGAGAGCCTGCTGATCTGGACTGGAGGAGAAAAGTGGAGTCGAAGGAGTAAACTGAGGCAAAAAAAAAAAAGGTTGACCAGCCTCCTGGCCATTCTCAGAAAACAGACTCTGTCACCAGAGGGCGCTAGGCTCCTCCTGACCGTTGCGGTTTAAGTCCCGCCCACTGGGGGCCTAAACTCCACCCACTGCGCCCCAGCCCCACCCCGTTCCCCAACGACACCCCGCACCTCACGCCTTGTCCTGATCCTGGCTACAGACAGAAAACTGCGGCTCCTCTTCATCCCGCCAACCTAGTGTATCCGTGTCTTGGGTTTTGAGGGAGGCATGTCAGCCCGGGCCTGGGCCACCTGCAGGATTAAGCGAAGGCATCAGCCATTAGCGCCCCAGGGCTCCCCCTGCCGGCTGGGTCTGGAACCCGCCGCATCCCTCGCCTCAGCCGGGTCGTGACGTCAGCGGGCGGCTGACGCACAGCCTGTCAATGACGTGTCCGGCCGTTGTCAGGACGATGGCTGACGCACGGCGGAGCTCCGGGCGGCGTCAATGCCGGGCTCGGCCGCTGGGGGGCCGAGTCGCCCCAGCCCCCCTCCTCCCGGGGGCTTCCCCACTCGGGGATGCCACAGAAGAGCCCGGGAGCTCCCGGAGCTGGCCGCGTGCTGCGCGTGGTCCGAGCCGGGGGCCGGAGGAAGCGTCTTCTCCGAGCTGTTGGGCTTTGGTACCTAAACCCGAAATAGCTCGTCTATGCGGGGGCCGGGCGCAGAGAGAGGGCGGCGGCTCTGGGCACAGATGGGGACGCGCGGAGACAGACAGGGCTGGTGGAAATAGAAACAGACAGGGACACAGACGCAGCCCGCCGATGGGCGCTGTGCTGCCGCCGCCGCTTGTGAAAGCTTGGGGGAGGGCCAGGCTGGCTGCTTTACCTTCCTACCAACCCAAGCCTGAAGATTCTGGGTGTGTGGCCCTGAGCCACTGACCTACACTCTCTGGGCCTCAGTTTCCCCTCTGTGAAGTTGGCTGTGGAGCCCTTGTGAGAACGTGACTGTGTCTGGCAATCAGTGAGTGCTTAATAAATGCTACTAACCTTGGAGCCTGTTGGAGCCTGTCAGGTCACGTCCTTCCTCCTCTGAGACCTCTCAGTCGCGATCCTCCTGCCTCAGCCTCCCAAGTACTGGGATAACAGCAGTGTGCCACCACTCCTGGCTAGCCCCCCCCCCACTTTAAATTTGAAGACAGTGTGTCCAAGCTGTGCACGGTGGCGCACTACTTCACATGACCCTCCTGCCTCAGGCTCCCCAGTAGCTGGGACAACAGGCACACACCAATTGCGCCCAGCTAGAAACTGTTGCAGACTACCGTTACCCTGCTATGCTAGAGAACACTGGAGTTCCTTCCTCCTAACTGTTTATTTCTTTTCTTTTTTTTTGGTACCGGGGATCGAACTCAGTCTTTGCGCTTGCGAGACAGATGGCGGAACCACTGAGCTAAATCCCCGGCCCTGTGCTTATTTCTTTTTCTTGCATAGCTAGGACTTCCACGTCGAATAGAAGTGAATCTCGCTGCATGGTAATAGGGTGCACATTCATCTAGCCCCCTCCCCGGTCTCAGAGGATGAGGGAAGAAAGGAGAGACAGAGAGGAAGCCAACCATCCCGCATGCAGATTGATAGATTTGCTTAGACAGGAAGAGAATGGCTGTGTGCCGCGTAGCTACTGTTCCATCTACACAGCCAGGCATAGCGGCGCTCCTCTGTAACTCCCAGCACTCTGGGAGGCTGAGGCAGGAGGATCATGGGCCCGATCCTAGCCTCGGCAACTTAGCAAGACCCTGTCTCTAAAATAAAAAATAGCGCTGAGGATGTAGTTTAGTAAGAAGGTCCTGGGTTCAATCCTCAGTATCAAACACACATACACACCTAGCTATTGGAGGATGGGGAAATCAATAGGATCACAAGTTCAAGGCCAGCCTTGAGCTATTTAGTGAGGACGTGTCTCAAAATAAAACCAAAAAAAGGCTGGGAATGTAGCTCAGTGGTACAGCACTTGGCTAGCGCAGATGAGGCCCTGGATTCAATACCCAGCACACCAGAAACCAAAACCGCAAAACCAAACCAAACCAATAAAAACACAAACAAACCCTAACCCTGTTTCTGGAATTCTTCCCACAGACCTGTACTCCAATCCTGCCTCACACTTCTTGGCTGTGCAACCTTGGGCAAAGTCACCCAGCAGCTCTGGGCCTCAGTTTCCTGATCTGTAAGACGGTGATACCATTCAGACCTAACCTACTGAGGCTGTGAGGACGAAGGGTACGAGCAAGAAATGCATACAAAGTTCTGAGCACAGAGCCTGGTCCACAGCAGGTACTCAGGAAGGCCATCCTGGTGGCAACACTGTATCATCACCATGGCCATTGTTTCTGGTTTTGGTGTTTTGAGACCGGCTCTTGAAATGTAGTTCAGGCTGGCCTCATGGTAATCCTCCTGCCTCAGCCTCCCAAATCCTGGGATCACAGGTGTGTGCCACCACGCCAGCCGTAACGCTTACAGTGTTGTCTCATAGGGAGCTGTAGACAGACTTGAGGGACAACACATGCATGGAGACCTCACCTCTCTGTCCTCCCCCACCCTCCTGCTGTTCCTCCCACTTAGAGCATAATCTGACCTCAGGGCCTTTGCACATGTTCTTCCTTCCATCTGTAAAACAAGTCTCAAATATCTCACTCTCTTCATACTCCCTTGATGCTCCTTTTGTTTCATCTGTTTGCTTTAAAGTTATATTCTAACACCCTATGTCATTCACTTACTAGTTTAGTAATTATCGCCCGTCTTCTTTGTTTTTGTTGTCCAGGGGTGGAATGCAGGGCTTTGTCATGTCAGCAAGTGACCTACCACTGAGCCGCACCTGCTTCGATGGGGTAGTGGTATTGAACTCTTTCCTTCCCTGCTGGACCCCGGGAGACCTAGGACCATGCTGGGATACAGTAGATGTTCAACCAATAGCTCTTGGGTGAGTGAATGAATTTGTGTGATTTATTTACCTTTATTAGGTCTCTGCTCGAAGTCACTCCCTTCCCTGAGATGAGAACCCCCCCCTACCTCCATCACCTTCAGCCCCTTCCTCAGCTTTATTTTTCTTCTATAATTTCATCTGCTGCCCCCTTCCCACCCCGTTTCACAGGTGTGTGTGGGGGTTATGTCTCCCTGCAGGCTGTAGCCAGGGCCAGCCTTGAGCATACAACCTGTGCAATCCCATTGGTGAGGACAACCCATTTGGAAGGGTTAATCTTCTACCGTTGCCTTTGTTTTCTAAGACACAAACTCAGTACGTAGTGCACACTGGCCCCGAACTGCCTCAGCCTCCCAGGTGCCGAGGTTACAGGCATGTGCCACCACACACAGCCAGAATATTTCTACCAGTTTGTTTGTTTTTAAGCATTTTGAACGGCAACTATGACTCTGCATTTACTTGTATTTGCCCTGAGTCTTTTTGGTTTGGGCTTGCTTTGGTTTCTTGAGATAGGGTCTGGCTAAGTAGCCCAGGCTGGCCTTGAACTTGCAATCCTCCTGCCTCTGCCTCCTGGATGCCAGGATTACAGGTGTGTGTTGCCATGCTGTGCCAGCCCTCAGTCTTCTCAGGGCTGTAGCGAGTCCTGGCTATGTCTCAGGTGTCGGGAACGAGGATAGGTGCTCTGAGATTATGGAATGAAAAAGTGGACAGCACAAGAGCCCCTCAGGCCAGGACACAGGCGGAGACACCCACCCACCACTGCTCAGAGAAACGGGAGCCTTCACAGCCATCAGCCCGGGCGGAAACCCAGGTGAGGAGGCCAGGCCTCCTGGAGGAGGACCCTAAGCCCGCCTGCTTCTCCGGGGCCGAGGGGCCGGATGGCTCAGGACAAGGGAGGCTTCTTCCCCTAACTCAGCCCACCGGGAACCCTGTTCACTGCGAGACCTGGAGCATTTACTCCCATCCAAGCTCCAGGCCGGGCGGATACGTGTGTGTGCACACACACGCACAGGCAGAGGCATGCATGAGGCGTCCTGCTTGGCTGGAAGGTGGAAGTTTCTGTGACCCTTAATGGTACATTGCTGAGATCTGGTCACAGCTGCAAGAGTAACAGAGCAGCTCGGTATCAAGTATCAGGTTAAGCTTCTGTGTGGCTAAAGTGTCCAGCTGACCTCCAAGTTTCATCCTGCTGCCTCAGCCTCCCAAGAGCTGGGGTTACAGCTGTGTGCCCCCACACCGGCCAGCCTCTCCCACTTCTATATGAACGGTGACACTTGGGGACTCACTGGACTTTTATGTAAAATGGGAAGGGACTGGGTTGCTTTACAATAAGCCTCTTTCCTGACCTCGAATTCTCTGGATCCACTTTGAGTGGAATCCCCTCTTTAAGTCCCTGGACATTTATGGAGCACCTACTATGTGCCTTGCACTATCATAGACCTGATCTTGCCCTCACTGGGCTCAAAGTAAAGTAAGAAGGTAGACAAAAAAGTAGACATTTCATGGACTCTGGAGCGCTCTCCCCCTAGTCTCTCTTTGTCAGACAACAGAATTTTGGTTTTCAAGCTGAAATCACCAGAGCTATTTTGTTTATTCAGTGATCTTGCCTTCCTCCCCATCCAGGCTCTGAGCCACCCTGCCGGTCTGATCGGTTGCTGCAGCCCTGAGAAGTCTGGACACAGCCTGGCATGCTTAGCATCTACTGGGGGAATAACGCAGGAAATAAACTAAAAACAAACAAATAGATAAATGAAGTCAAGGTAAGCTCGGCACATACGACCTCCCTGAATCAGTGTCATTCATTACTCCCTTAGCAGATGGGGAAATTGAGGCCCAGGAAGGAAAAGCAGCTTTGGGGGAGGGGGCCCGCAGCTAAATGGTGTAGGGCAGTGGGACGCACCGAGCGGCCGCCCTCCCACCCCCACTCCACTGGAGCGAGATGCGGCAGGGATGATGTGGGTCCCGGGCTGGCCGCCAGGGATCGTACAAAGTTACTCAGGGTCCCCACTGGCGACGCAGCACTGGCGGAATTAGCAAATGTTTGGCGCGGACAGAGGAAGCTTCCGGCGGCTCCTTGTCCCCAGGTCAGGGGGCTGAGGGTCTGGGGACCCTGCTTTGGGGTGTCGGGCAGCTCTAGTCCAAAAGCAGGGAGAACCCTTTGCCATTAATAGGGCCTTTCCGGCATCTCAGGGCGCCCCCTCCCCGACCCTAGCCCAACGGAACGGCCGAATCCCTCAAAGAACAAACTGGAGTGGGGGAACCCAGATTTCCTGGATTTCCAGAATTTCCAGATTTCTCCTCTATCCTCTGCGCGGGCGAGGGGGTGTCCCTCCCCACCGCAGCTCGCGGCCCAAAGCTTACCTTGCAGGGGGCTGGGGAGGGGATGCCCCACTCTCTCTGGCCGGGGTGGGGGAACAGGGGTGTCCAGACCCTTTGTTTGCTGGTGTGTTTGCGCGCGCTCGGTTTGTTTGTTGTGTGTGTGTGTGTGTGTGTGTGTGAGCGACTGAGAGACCCGCCCGGTGCAGGTCCGCGAACGCGCGTGCCCGGGCCTTGAAAGTACTGGACTCCGGGGCAGGAGGAGGGACCGGGGGAAGGGGACTCCCCGCCGCCCCACCCTCCGGCTAGACTGGAGCGCGGGGGGAGGGGACGCCTCGGGAGGGCGCTTTTGTCTGGATGGCCCCTCCCCCTCCGGGCCAGGGAATCCCCTCTCCGTCCAGAATCTTTTCGTCCCTACCCTCCAGATCCTCCTCCCCAATAGGGCTAGCAGGAAGAGGCGCCCCTCACCCGGGTGGCTGGAACCCCTCCCACCCCCTCCTTCCCCTAGCCGAGCACCCTTTCATCTGAGATAATCCCGGCCCTAGGCTGCAACATGGCTTTTTATCCTCCTATCAAAGCGTGGGTTGGGATGAAGAAAAGTGCGCACCAGATCCCCCAAGCTGGATTGAACGCTCCAAGCTCAGGCTGAGGTTGGGGACCCCAGAAAAACGGGGAGCGGCTATGAACAGCCCCAGACTACTGGGACAACGAAAGCCCCCTCGGCACCAGCACGACCCCCGCCTCCTGGGCGCAGGGCCGGCTCGGGTCGCCGGCCAGACATTAGCGACACTCAGCGGCCGGGGAAACGGCGACCGAGACCGGGTCCTGGGTCCGATGACTCCAGAGGGGGTGCAAGGGCAGAGGTTCTCGCCCTAGAGTAGCAGAAGGGGGCGGGGGCTGTGGTCCGAGCCCAGGAAACCCCGGTCACCTAGGCAGGGTCACAACCACGCCCACCTCCGAACTCTCCACGGCAGGGTCACACCCCTCCCCTTTAGGCCTCCCAGAATTGGGCCTGGAGAGTCGCACCGGGTCGGGTACTCCTTCCCAGACCCGAGTTAAATCCTCCTTCGCCAGGGGCAGAAAGCAGGTTTTCCAGCTGAGGCCCCGCCCCCTGCAGTGGGTCCTGGCTGATGTCACCGCGGCGTGGCTAGGGGAACAATCCTCTCCCCCAGTCTCGTCAAACGCCCACCGTCGGCTGGCGCGAGATGACGAGGGCTAGCGGTCGGGGTGACCACCGGCCTGCCCACCGGATGTGCCTGAGAGAGAAACTTCGATAGACCAGGCCGGGTCGTAGCGGGGACTCCCGGGGCTGCGGAACACGTGCTCCGGGCCCTTCGCGCCGCCTCCGCCTCAGCCTTTGCCGCCGCTACCAGGGAGGTAGCGGGTTGGGCCGCCGAGGCAAGATGGTGGATTACAGCGTGTGGGACCACATCGAGGTGTCTGACGATGAGGACGAGACGCACCCCAACATCGACACGGCCAGCCTCTTCCGCTGGCGGCACCAGGTAGAGCGTGGGAGCCCCTCCCCTTCCCCCTGCGCCGCCTCCGCCTCAGCCTTTGCCGCCGCTACCAGGGAGGTAGCGGGTTGGGCCGCCGAGGCAAGATGGTGGATTACAGCGTGTGGGACCACATCGAGGTGTCTGACGATGAGGACGAGACGCACCCCAACATCGACACGGCCAGCCTCTTCCGCTGGCGGCACCAGGTAGAGCGTGGGAGCCCCTCCCCTTCCCCCTGCGCGGGACCCCGATACTGCAAAGTTCGGACCCCTGAGACTGCCCAGAGTTCCTCCTGCCCGGACGCCCGGGGTTCCTGCCCCACACTCTAGACTTAGAGACCGCCCCCCAAGACTGTTGGAACTCCGATACTGCCGGGACCCCGCGATCCCCGGGGCTCTCCGCTCAGCTCTGCGTAGAACTTCCCGTTGGTCCTTAGGGCTTCATCGCAGTCTGTATTTCCAAACCGAACTGTGGCAGTCCTGAAGTTCTATGTGTCGTTTCCACCCAGAACTCCGCCTCAGAGTCTCGTCCCCGAATTCTGCTAGATGATCCCCGATCCTATTCAGGTACCTACTTCTGATTTGGGATCCTCCATCTCCTCAACCCCTAGAGTCAAGACCCTCGTTTTTTGTTTTTTGTTTTTGTTTTTTTAAGACAGTCGCTATTTAGGCTGGGCTGGCCTGGAACTCCTAATCCTCCTGCCTCAGCCTTCTGGGTGCTGGGATCACGGAAGTGCACCGTGCACCACCACGCCCTGCACAATATGTTGATTCTATCCTGAGCGCTGCTTCTTGGGATCTTGACCAAAAATTCCTATTCAGATCCCAAAACCCCACGCCTTCAGTTCCAAACTGAACTCCGTCCCACCTGAGATTCTGTTCCTGGCCTGGGACCTACTTCCTAAAGTGTAGACCATGCCCCACCAGGGTCGGAGTTCCTGCCTAAGCCTTGGGAGTTTTGGAACCTGGTCCCCCTCTGTATGTCGACCACCACCAGTTCCTGAGGGAGGCCTCATGTCCAGCCACCTCAGGTGGTACCTCCGGGAGTTCCTGTCTTCTCTTACACAAGGAAATCACGCCTACTTAGCTTCCTGCCCAGCCAGCAGCCTTGTCCCTATTCGGTATTTCAGACCCCATCCCTGATACTGCCTTTTCCCGTGTGAATCTTCATCACAGAGGCCAGGAACCCAAACCCCCACCCTGATGCCCTGTTCCCAGCCTCCTCTGCTGCTCTTAAACGGGGACCCTCTCTGGCCTTATTACCAACTCACTGCCCCTTCCAAAAAGTCTGCTCACATCCGGGAACCCCCACCTTGGAATCTCAAGTCTGGGTGATCGGTTTTCTGCCCCACCTCTTCCTGCCCAGCAGTGCCTGAGGCTCTTCCTGTTCCCCTGAATCAGAGCTCCATTGCCCGCATCCTTGTGCCTGTTGCTGACTGAGGGTGTAGCCTTATCAGAGCCTTCCAGTTAGGAACGGTCACCACCCCTCCCATGGATGGGAATCCTGTCACTTATCTAGAATCTTCTAGAAGGCCCTTCCCCATCCTTCCGGGACGCGGCATTAGCTCCTTCCTACCTGTGCAGCCTTCTGTCCCCCCTCCAAACCCATTCCTGAAATTCCTACCCCCTTGTTAGAACCTGTTGGGTAAGCCATGGGAGTGTGGGAAGAAAGTTCTAGCGCTTCTATTTCTTGCTGTGTGTAGTGTTTTATTATGAAATATTTAAGACCTCCGCGAGCTCTGAAGACTATTCTAGGGAACACCTATTTCTGTCACGTAAAGAGGTTAATCTTACTACCTCGTGGAGAACAGTTTGGGCCTCCTAGGTGGGAGGCCGCCCCTTCTGTTGGCACAGAGCTGTTTCTGGCCCTGCGACTGTGGCCGTAGTAGTAGCGAGGAGGGGAGACGGGCCTGAGTGTGCCAGCCCTGCCCCTTCCTGCTTCAGGCGATGGTGCCAGGAGAATCATACCCTCTTAGAGGCCGTGTGGAGTAAGATAATGTGGCCCCCACTTGTGTGAGACCCTTTTAAGACCGCAGTAGGGAGTGGAGGGTAGCTCAGTGGTGAGCACTGCCTGGCATGCATGAGTCCCTGGGTTCCAAAAGACAGAATGAAATGAGCCAGGTGTGGTGGCAGGCACCTGGAATCCCAGCGCTCGGAAGGCTGAGGCAGGAACATTGTTGTGAGTTTCAGGCCAGCCTAAACTGCATAGTGAGACCCTGTCTCAAATTTTTGTTGTTTTTTTGTTTTTGTTTTTGTTTGTTTGAGACAGGGTCCACTGTGTAGTTGAGACTGACCTGGAACTCACTATGTAGCCCAGGCTGGTCTCGAACTCACAGCGATCCTCCTGCCTCAGCCTCCCAAGTGCTGGAATTACAGGGGTGTGCCACCACGCCTGGCATCAAATTTTTTTAAAAGAAGGATGAAATAAAGGTAGCTCTGGAAAGAACTTGGGCAGGACCTAGGAGGGTCAGTAGTCTGGAGTGTCAGTTAGATTAGTGAAAAGATAGTCATCAGGGTGGTGGTTCCCACGCAGTCTGACCACATGCTGCGTTCAAATTCTGGCTGCTTGTGTATCATTGATACGCTGTGTGATATCTAGCAACATGTCTGACCTCTCTGTGCCTCCGTTTCCCCAGCTGACAATATGAATAGGACCTACCCCATAGGGTTGCCATCAAGGTTACCTTATTTAATGTTGGGAACACTATAGGAGCAGTAGCTACTGTTAGTATTTATTGTTTGTTTGTTTGTTTGTTTTTTGGTACCAGGGATCGAACTCGTGTCCTTGTGCCTGCAAAGCAGGCGGTGGAAACACTGAGCTCAATCCCTGGCCCTACTGTTAGTGTTTAGGTAATGGTTGCTTGTATTTAAAAATAAAAACACAAATTTCAGCCTGTAATCCCAACACAGAGGGAAGCCAGGGCAGGAAGAAAACGGATGAGCAAGAGTCTCTCCCACCCCCAGCTGCCCGAGCCCCCTGCCCAGAGATAGCTGCCATTAGTAGTTTCTTCTGGCTCCTTGCATCAAGCCTCTGTTTTGCCCGTCTGTGAGGCAGGACACTGCCACCTGCGGAGCCTTCTTTTCTCATGACTTCCGCCTGCTGCAGCCTCACACTTAGGAGCTGTAAAAGCCCAGGCTGGGCAGGCTGCCCCGCCCCACACTCCAGGAGGCGTTTTTTTAGCTTTGGCGTCCCTGGCAGCCACTCAGAGGACATTGGGGAGGGCAGTGGCAGCCTCAGAAGCCAGCAGGGTGGCAGGTTCTTGCTGCTGCTGACCCCAGTTCCTCAGCAGGCCGAGGCAGGAAGATGGAAAATTCAAGGCAGAGCACCCCACACCCCAGAGGCCCCAGGGTGGCACAGACCCACTGGTTACAGCAGACCTGAGCCTCACCCGTCCTGTGCCTGGCTGTGTGCCTCATGGGCACACTGACTCCCAGAGGACGTGGAAATGAGTCCGCAGGCCGTTCTGGGGGCCGTGACGAGGGTGGGTGACGATAGCAGGATGCCATCCTCGTGTTGGACACATTCTCCTCCACTCACATGAAGCGCTCCCTGCAGCCCTGGGAGGCCCCATTTCACAGAGAGAAAAGAAGGGCCGGAGAGATTTCAGTGACCGACTAGGTGACCAGGAAGCGGGGTGGGGACCTCACAGATGGATGCCAGGTGCTCACGACCCTCCCGGCAAGAGACTGATCAAAGCACTTGCGGTTGATTTCTTTAAGCCTCACAAGAGTCCCAGAGAGAGCCTGATTATTCCTGGGTACAGATGGCAGTGATGGCATCTGGCACGGGAGTGGCACCACCCGAGGGTCCAGTGCAGCCTCTGCCTCTACACGAGCAGACAGCTCCTGGCTCATCAGGGTCCGGGTCTGGGCTTCTTTTCCCTTGCAGTACTGGGGATTGATTGAATGCAGGGAGTGCCGCTCTACCCCGAAACCCTACTCACATTTTGAGACAGGGTCTGGGCTCAAACTTGGAATCCTCCTGCCTCAGCTTCCCAAAGTGCTGGGATTGCAGGCGTGCACTACCACGCCCGTCCCTGAGGTTCATTTGAGGGGCAAATCAGAGCTGGCCTGGGACAACAGGCAGCTGTAGCCTCAGTAAGGGTGTCAGTCAGAGGTCATAGCAGGAGCTGGGGACTCCCACAGCATCTCACTACCTGTCCCACGTTTCCGAACCTCTACTGTACCAGACCTGGAGATACCACAGCAAGCAAGTCCCCGCTTCGTGGAACTAACATTCTTGGAGGGGAACAGTGCCGAAAATGTAACAATATCCCAAGATGTTATTAGTGGCCAGTAAGAAGGAGAAAGACACAGCAGGGCAAAAGTAGAAGGTGAGGCCGGGCATAGTTGCACGCACACACCCACAATCCCAGCACTCTGGGATGCTGAGGCAGGAGGATCCCAAGTTCAAGCCAGCTTGGGTGGGCAAGGTAGTGATTCCGTGAGGCCCCTGGGTTTTTGGTGGCTTTGTTTGTTTGTTTGTTTTGTTTTGAGGCAGGGTTTTGCCATGTCCAGGCTGTCCTTGAACTCGAAGTGACCCTCCTGCCTTAGCCTCCCCAGTGCTGGGATTGATGTACCCGGGGTCCAATCGCTCATTCTAGGCAGATGTGCAGGGCCTTGTGTGAGTGAGGCGGACGCTGCAGGAGTGGGGCAGAGGCAGGACCTGTGCCATCCAGGGTGATCCCCGGGCCCAGGGTTGAGGGAGGAAGCCAGGAGAGCACGGAGTCAGCTGCGTGACGTCACCCCGGCCCGCCGCAGGCCCGCGTGGAGCGCATGGAGCAGTTCCAGAAGGAGAAGGAGGAGCTGGACAGGGGCTGCCGCGAGTGCAAGCGCAAGGTGGCCGAGTGCCAGCGCAAGCTGAAGGAGCTGGAGGTGGCCGAGGGCGGCAAGGCGGAGCTGGAGCGGCTGCAGGCCGAGGCACAGCAGCTGCGCAAGGAGGAGCGGAGCTGGGAGCAGAAGCTGGAGGAGATGCGCAAGAAGGAGAAGAGCATGCCCTGGAACGTGGACACGCTCAGCAAGGACGGCTTCAGCAAGGTGAGCGCGCGCCAGGCGCCGTCGGGCGGGGGTGGGGGTGGGCACGGTGCCGGTCCACTAAGTGCGGGCTGGGTCCGGGTTCGCTTCCAGCTTCCTTCCCCTGCACAGTAGGAAAGTGAAAATAGCTGGGCATAGTGGTGCGTGTCTGTAATCTCAGTACTCTCAGGAGGCTAGGGCAGGAAGATCACAAATTTGAGCCCAGCTTGAGCAATTTAGTAACTTAGCAAGATACTCTCTCAAAAGGTAGGACTAGGAATGCAGTTCACTGCAAACGCTGTGGGTTCCATCCCCGGTACCGCAGAGTTAAATATCAAAAGGTCAAAAGCCAAAGCAAGCCGGTCGTGGTGGTGCATACCTGTCGTCCCAGCACTTGGGAGGCTGAGGCAGGA